TCCTATCTACATCCATATACTATCTCGTGTCCCTTATCCGAATGCTCCTGAAGATTACCGTCTCATCTCTCGTATCTTAATGCTCCTGCATATTAGTATCTCGTGTCTCTTATCTGATGCCCTGTTCACTTCGCTGAGAAGCTAGACTGAAAAATACGGTTTATTGATTTGTTGTGAGAGAAAAATATTATATACCATGGGATAGAGTTGCATATCACTATTCCACCAACCTGTTCATAGTAAATCAGCAAAGTGAAATCCAATTAGCTTCACAGTTGCCTAAACTCCCTACGGGCCATGTCCTTGGCACTGGTAAGGTTCTCAGTCCGTCATCCGTTTCAGTATATCTGCAGGACAATCTGCATATTCAGACTGTAATTCTCAATAAAAGAGCTAAATTAGGAAAATTTGGCCAGTGTTTTTCTCTCACAACATTTCAACATAAATATCAGCATAAGCCAAATTTCAGCATAAGCGAGCAGGATAAAAATAATATAAAATTTCAACCCAGGTATACTGCTAAAATTTTATATTTATTTTTTCGAGCATCTTAACCACCTCAAATGTAAAAACTCAAAACTATAAAGTTATCGATCCCATTAAGAGCTACAACTTTGATATAAAAGTATCTTTATTTGACACCATACAAAGATGATATTATTTTTCTAATACAACAAGCGATAGTACGCGATTACTATGCAGCTGAAATTTTATATAATTTTTTGAGCATCTTAACGTCCTCAAATGGAAAAAACTTAAAACTATAAAGTTGTAGACCTCGTCGAGATCTACAATTTTCATATAAAAATCATCTCAATCCGATGTCGTATCGGAGAGTAATAATTTTTTTCTAAGTTTAAGCCTCGTCACGCCACCCCGGTGGCGCAACAGAACAATATTGTCGCGCCAACGGGAGTGGCGCAACGAGGTTTTTCACGACGAAAACGTTATCTAACATGGCAGGTATTGTCGCGCCAATACATGTGGCATGATACAAGATTTTTAGCTACGCCCGGTAATCGGGCGCGACCAAAATGGTGAGATCCGAAATATTTTTATTATTATTAAAATATTAAATAAAAAGCGATTAAAAATAAAAATTCTCCCAATATCCACCAGAAGCTGCCGTCCCGCCGTTGCCGCGAGCGAAGGAGACGTGTGCCACCACCGGGCCGTTGAACTTCATCAGCGCAACCGCGCTCAACGTCTCCGATGCACACGGACGGGGATGGAGAACGGCGGAGAAACAAAGAATGGCGTGCAAGGATGGTTGGGTGATGGATTTGGCGCGTATCTTGGCTTCCCGCCGCCGCGCCACGATGGATCATCATGCCACGCTTGGAGAAGACGGCCCCGACAACGCGGTTTCGGTGACGACTCGGCCGGGACCACGCGCCGCCGCCACTCACTCTCTCCTTCACTAATCACTTTGTTCATGAGGGGGGGGTTCGCAAAAAAGAACATTACGGAGACGGCCCTCGGACTCGGTCACTCGGTACGTAAACAGGCCCTCCGCCTCCCAAAAGCCAAACTCACCTTGTACATGGTCCGCTTATAACTGGACCAACCCATCGAACCAGACCTATGGAAACCACGCTCACGGTTAGGCACGGGTTGGTTTGTCATGCGGTTCCGCACCGCTAACCCGTTCGATTCGTTTTCTCCAACTCACCCGTCTCTCACCACGGGCTCGCGCCGACGAAGACGACAAGGAGCCTCCACCGCGGCCCGTCCCCTCCGCGAGCTCGCCTTCGTGCCACCGCCCCGCTCGCACCGGTGTGTGCAAAGCAATGGCAGCGTGCGTTCGCGTCCAAGGTCTGGAGGGCGGCAACCGGCAATGGCTGGTGTTCGACACCGCAATGGCTCTCTCCGTGCTCCTCCATGCTCAAGTTCCACAACGACACCGGGTCGTCGTTCATGGTGAACGCGTACCCGTACTTCAGCTACAACGTGGCGACGCTGAACTACGCCGTGTTCCGTCCCAACGCCGGGGTGTACGATCCCGCGACGAAGATCAACTACACGAGCATGTTCGACGCGCAGATGGACGCCATCTACACGGCGATGAAGAGGCTCGGGTACGGAGATGGGGTGGAGATCGCCGTCGGCGAGGCGGGGTGGTCGACCAAGGCGGAGGCGGGGCAGGTCGGGGTGGGGCTGGAGGAGACCAGGGATTTCATTGCCGGGATGATAAGGGTGTGTAGCGGCGGCAAGGGCACGCCGATGATGCCGGGGAGGAGGTTCGAGACGTACGTGTTCTCGTTGTTCGAATTATTGTGCTTATTTTGAGTCGAAATAACGTCAGCATGGCAGACTCCATAGTATATGATCTTTAATGAAACGTCGCTGCTTTGCACTGCTCTGAAAATTATCATACACGTAGTAGCTCCCATTAGAAGGCACTCTGAAAATGAAACCAACAAGCTAGCTGCACAAAAGACAAGCGTGTTGCTATTTGCACTCAAATTTCTGCAATCCCATTATCGGACCCAATATTTTTCTCTGCGTAAGCATCAATTTCACTATTTAGTTAGTTTGACACACCATAGCAAAATACCGGCACACTACTTGTTCCCGACTTCATATGCTCATTTAAAAATAGGCACTAAACACACCGAAAACTAAGCATAATGATTATGGACATGTAAAGGCATGGAAACAATACAATTCTATGATAGCAAGACGATGAGGAGCTTTATATACCATGCCCGCTGGATGGATTGGATTGGAGTATCATGTTTTTTTTTTGAATAATATCTTCTTAATGATTAATTGGCCGCAGGTAAGACTGAGCTGGGCCGACTGGGCGCCTATCGGCCCCTGGGGCGCCAACATCAGAAGCCAACAGGCGCCTGAGGGGCTGCAGAGTGTGCCGTATATCCTATCGACCGCGCGGGGGACGATAGGTATCTGTCGGCTGTTCGCTGGCCGATACGCGCTGTGTGCTGTGTGCTCTGCCACTGGACGAGTCCGCATGCATGTGGCACGCGTGTATCTGGAATCTAAAAGCTGTTGAGCTGGACTGGATCTGGCTAATAATAATACGTGCTCCTACGTGCCGTGTGTTTTTGTTATATACATATACTCTCTCGTATATGAAGTTTTCTTCTTCTTTTTTTAAGCCTCTCATCTGGGTACAACGGTAGAGAATGGTGAGATCCGAAAAAAAATTCAGGTGCGATTATTATTAAAATATTAAATAAAAATGGATTAAAAAATAAAAATTCTCCCAATATCCACCGGAAGCTGCTGCCGCGCCGTTGCCGCGAGCGAAGGAGACGGGTGCCGCCACCGGGCCGTTGAGCTTCATCAGCGCAGCCGTGCTCAACGTCTCCGATGCACACAGACGGGGATGGAGAACGGCGGAGAAACAAAGAATGGCGTGCAGGGATGGTTGGGCGATGGATTTGGCGCGTATCTTGGCTTCCCGCCCGCTCGCGCCACAGATGGATCATCATGCCACGCTTGGAGAAGACGGCCCCCGTACGACGCGGTTTCGGCCGACGACTCGGCCCGGGACCACGCGCCGTCGCCACTCATTCTCTCCCTTCATTAATCACTGTTCACGAGGGGGTTTTCGCAAAAAGAACATTACAGAGACGGCCCTCGGACTCGGTCACTCGGCTGTAAACAGCCCTCCGCCTCCCAAAAAGCCAAACTCACCACAGTACATGGTCCGGTTATAACCGAACCAACCCATCAAACCAGACCGATGGAAACCGCATCTACGGGTTAGGCACGGGTTGGTTTGCCGCGGGTTCCAGACCGCTAACCCGTTCGATTCGTTTTCTCCAGCTCAGTCCGTATCCACCACGGGTTGCGCCGACGAAGACAACAAGGAGCCTCCACTGCGGCCGTCCCCTCCGCGAGCCTGCCCGTGCCACCGCCCGCTCTGGCACCGGTGTGTGCAGCAATGGCAGCGTGCATCCGCGTCCAAAGTCTGGAGGGCGGCAACCGGTACAGATCCAAACCAATTGATTTAATTTCACGCGAGCACACAACATGAGAAAGGAAAGCGTAAGAAGAAAACTAAAGGACAAGCAATGCTATTTACGTAATGGATTTTCTTCAAAATTTCATTGTAGCATTGTATCACTGCAGCGCGCATTCGTTCTTCCGATATAATAGGAGCTGCAATGGATACACCAGCAATAGAATTAATTAATGTGATGGATAGTGATCGAATATTGATGCTGCAGCATTTTACGTATTGCTGCTTGCTGTTCACCTGTATTTCCAGTGACACTACTTATTGCTCCAGAGTCCATACGGCAGCGACCTTGTCCAAAATCTCCATGATTGCAGGGCAGCTAGTGATGGGATGTTTGAACCCATCAGTTTCCATGACGGCACCAAGCACGTCACGCGAAGCTATGAACCCAATGCAGGCACCTCTCAGATGGGGACAGTGGTGTTGCTCTGCTAAAGCGAGGGTGGTGGCCACCGTCGGCACATCGATATCGTGGCACAGCTTTGCATCGCACAGGAGCCTTAACCTGTCAAGCCCATACCGATCGGCTGCAACTAACAGGTGCTGCGTTGCCACATTGTTATACCGGCAAGGAATCTATGTTGACGAAGTGCAGGAGTGACTTGAATACTGCAGGCTCCATGTCATCGATCTCGATGCGCTGTGCATCCTTCTCCTTCATCGTGCCGAAGAGCTCGGACGGTTGGATATTGTAGAACCTATCGGCCAGTGGAAAGCCGACAGGGACTCATTGCCCCCCGCGCGGCCTATAGGAGATATGGCACACTTTGCAGCCCCGTTAGGCTCTCCGTTGGCTTCTGGAAGGTCGATAGAATGATGTCGGCGTCTCAGGGGCCGATAGGAGTCCAGTCGGCTCTCTATCCCTACCCAGCCCATCCTGCGGTCAATTAATCATTAAAAATATATTATTTAAAAAAAACATGATACTCCGATCCAATCCATCCAGCGGGCGGATATAAAGCATTGTACGTATTGCTGCTTGCTGTTCAGCTATATATTTTCAGTGACACTACTTATTGCTCCAGACGGCAGCGACCTTGTCCAAAATCTCCTTCATGATTGCAGGGCAGCTAGTGATGAGATGTTTGAACCCATCGGTTTCCATGACAGCACCAAGCACATCACGCGAAGCTATGAACCCAATGCAGGCACCTCTGAGCCGGGTGCATTGGTGTTGCTCTGCTAAAGCTAGGGTGGTGGCCGCCGTCTGCACATCAATATCGCGGCACAGCTTTGCTTCGCACAGGAGCCTTAACCTGTCAAGCCCATACCGATCGGCTGCAACTAACAGGTGCTGTATTGCCACAATGTTAACTGCTGCATTGTCATCGCAATCATCTGGCAAGGAATCCGTGTCGTCGCAATCATCTGGCATGGAATCCGTGTAGACGAAGTGCAGGAGCGCCTCGAATACCGCAGGCTCCATGTCTTGGATCTTGATGCAATGTGCATCCTTCTCCTTCATCGCGCCAAAGAGCTCCGCCCTGAACACCATGGACCGTGCGGCCAGGATGCACCGGTGAGCAGGGAACAGTTGGTCGCCCACACTGAACGTCACGTCTGCACCTTCCCCGCTCTTCAGCATGTCTGTGAGGTCCTGGTGCAGCTTTGGCTTCGGAACTACAACGACGGCGGCTGCATCTTCAGTGTGAGGCACTTGTTTTATCGTCAGAACACACCTGATGGTGAAGCGACCACCGTTGAGGTGCAGCAGCTCCTGCAGGCTGGATTTCTCAATAAACGTAGGCCAGCCCCAGCCGGCACCAGCCGACGACTCAAAAGGTCTTTGAAGTTAGCTTTTTCGTGATCACTTGATCTTGATCTTTATTGCCCAATAGTAAACTGAAACTAAATGCAACACTGACACCTGCTGTCCCACTGACAAAATACAGGAAGGCTGACACATAAGCACTTTTGTTCTCGTCGACCCCGTCAGGGTACAAGTCGATCCTCCAGTCGCAGCCGCCGGCGCTGAAGGTGCTCGAGCTGACGGACTTGCCCGTGCCCATGCCGTCCAGCACCGAGAAGTCGGTCACCTCGAAGTTGTGCGTCACTGTGACAGATTCTCATACAAGGAATGAGAACATTTTTACTATAGGCACAGCTGAGGTTGGGAACGCCCCTATAGTGGGCGTCTTCGGCCCCAGCAGCCCGGCCGCCCCTACAAATGGCACTATAGGGGCAGCTGTTAACCTGAGCCGCCCCTACAGTTGGGGCTGATCTGTAGGGACGGCTCAATCACCAGCCGTCCCTGCAGTGCCCAGATGTTCGACTGTAGGGGTGGCTGAATCACCAGCCGCTCCTACTGATGGCGCACGAATAAATAGCAGCCACCCCCTTCTTCCTTCTCGGGACACACTCTTCTAAAAAAAAGATTGAGAGGCCTTAGGCTCCTCCTAAAAATTGCTCTACTAAGGGGGAGGTTTTGATCTCAAATCCTTTGGTGGAGAGGCTCTAAAAGATAAGGAAATGCTTCTCCAACTTTTTATTTAAAGTTTAATTCGTTGGTTAGTGAGTAATTTGATTTTTAGTTTTCTCTCTTCCATGGAACTTGAGCTAGTTATGAGTGAAATTGGACCCTAATTTTCACTATACTAGGGTAAATTAGGTAGGGAAGTAAGATTGCACCCTTTGTTAGTACATCTTTGTTGATTTTTGTGTAGTATTAGTGAAGTTTGGTGCATGTGTCATGAAACCCTATATCTAGATCTAGATCTAGGATTTTGTTTTTTTTCTTTTTCAATTTTTTCTTTATGTGACTAGGGTTTGCATGTAGGTGAATGTGTAAGATTTTAATTGTTGCTAATGTGTAAAATATCCTCTACCATGGCTACTAATTATCATTTAATATTTATTTTGATTCCTTTCTATAATGCGTGTTTTTAATTAGTTATGGATAAATAGGCCATTAATTAATTATCCTCTACCATAAAATTGGAATAGAGTTTACATGAATGGTAGTGGATGAAATACTAAATGTTGCTAATTGTTTTCTTTGAAATTGTTTATTTGAACCGATTAATTTATATTTTAAAATATTTATGCATTAATAGTCAATTAATTAACTATCATCTACTACCATGGTGTGTGTCTCATGTATATATAATTATTCTCGAATAATATTCTCTCTTTGGTTGTTTTGTTTCTATAAGATGGACTACAGGAACTCTTGGATGTATGGTTCGTTAAGACACGACGCTCTTTTTCGTGATGAGGTGGACAAATTCATCAAAGCCGCAGAGAAGCATGCAGCGATGTTGAAAGAGAATAGTGACACGATTATTTGTCCCTGCAAAGATTGCAAGAACCTTATTGCATTTCGAGATGTGAGTACCATCAAAGAACATCTAATTAGGAGAGGATTTATTCTGGACTACACAGTGTGGATTCATCATGGTGAAACAGTGGTTGTTGATGACAACGACGATGATCTAGCTGATGAAGCTGAAACCCAAGCATACTTGTCCCGATTCATAGACGATCTTGAGCAACAAATGGATCGTGACTATAGCAATGAACAAGGTGGTGGCTTTGGCAATGAACAAGGTGGTGATGATGCTGGTGGTGCCAGCAATGATGGCGAAGCACGTGAGGGGGATGCAGATGACGGTGACAACTTGGACGAAATGCTTGGGGCCTTTGGACCAGAAATATTAGAAAAGAGCAAGAGAGGTCTAGAAAATCTTGAGAGGGTGACAAAAGCATCGAAGAAGACTGTGTATGATACTGAGAAGGGCTGTCCGCCATACTTCACGCTGCTACGTTTTGTGCTTGAGCTACTCATCCTGAAGGCTAAGTAACTAGAACCCCCGTCGATCGCATACGGGCGCCAACTAGTTGCAAATTGATGGTTCCGATGGGCAGGCAAAATGTGATCATTGAGGTGACAACGGGCGTGGCACATCCTCCGGGCGGCACGTGGCACAATAGGGAGATCCCGCAGGACTACACTCGGGTCAAGGTGCATACTGTGAAGCCCGAGTTCATGACTTAGAAGATAGAACACCCTACTCCTGAGGGGGCTCGTGTTACTCGGAGACGTCATGAACCAGTTCATCCTCTGGCACAGACGGGACATTGAATTGACCGAGTCTTCGCCAACTCCGACTGAAGTTCATCCTCTGGAGCGACCCGTCGAGGACGGGGAGGTATACTCACCGGCCCATGACCATGACCACCACACGCTAGAGACTTCTCCACCTCGTACCGAGCAAGAGCATGATGACATGCCACATCCTTCTCCACCTCGTACCGAGCATGGGCATGATGACATGCCACGTCCTTCTCCAGCTCGTACCGAGCAAAGGCATGATGAGATACAACATCCTTCTCAACAAGCGTAGTCAATACATGAACAACAAGTGTCTCATGAACAGCAGTTGCCTCGTGAACAGCTGATACGTGAAGAACAAGTGGCCCCTAGAGCAGGTGATGCACAAGTTGACAAGGACGTGCCCGAATGGGAAGCTCGAAACAAAATCCCAATCAAGATAAGGCCATCATATGTGGGCATTAATGACGTCTCGCTGGTGCATAAGTGGATGGCCCATGACCAGTTCAAGCCTAAGAACCAAGTAAAAGAATTCAGAGCACCAGCTTCTGAGGAGGGCACCACTAGCAAACTACACAAAGGGTTTAACAAGTATCCAGCTGTTGATAACCTCAAATGGTCAAATGATTGCCCGGATAAATATGAAAAGCAAGAACTTCCTACCAAATCGAGTCATACAGTGCTTGCCACATGGAATGAGAAAGTTTCACGATTGGTACTTGCGTGCTCAGATAACAGAACTAAAAATCTTACAAGCATGGATCCCTGCCGGCACATTTGGAGCCCCAGGTGGGCAAATTACCGTTGAGTTTAAGGATATCCAGGCATGCTTCCACCTCGAACGAATGGAAATGAATCTAATTCTCATGTGGTGCCTGTAAGTTCTTGCCCTCTCGATATGATATGAATATAATCTTTTGATTTTGTTGTAACTAACCCGCGCCGTGATTTGTAGAATGCAAGCAGACTTTGTGAGAAAGAGGGCAGCTCTGAAACACGGGTATATAGACCCTTCACCTATAGTATCAACAAATTTTAATTACCCTAAAGAGTGAAAACTAGATTGAAAAGAATTAGGAGCTGGAAAGACACTTAAGGAGAAAGAGGACATCAGGAACAAGAAAATATTGAAAGAGTCCCTCAAGGTTGCGGCATACATTGCCCTATGTTTTAAAAATCTCCAACAACACGATACTATATGGATACCATACCACTTCAAGTAAGTTCGACTGTATACTTAGCTTTGTTCAATATACTTTGTTCGATGCAAAAGAGCTTAAGTGTTCCTTCTATGACTAAATTCATACAAATGATCACCGGATTTGCATAGGCGTCCCTGCTCTCACATAGCATGTCATGGGTCTTTGATTCAATGGATTTCCCAGTCAAGACATACAAAGACTTCATAGCGATTGTCAACACGTATATATATCGACAATCATCATTTTAGCTACTATGTTTGTATACATACTTGTAAGGTTCAATGTGGGATACTAACAAGTTGCATTTGCTAAAACCATTGGAACAGGGCATTCAGGCACTATGTCTAGGAACATAAGGGGAGACATCTTCCAAATAGGAAGAAAAAGTTGTATGTCAAAACTCTATGTGCGGTAAGTGTCATTTACTTTGGTACTCCATATATTACGTGTCTGTCAATAGTATTACTTAACATCTCCATATGCAAAACACACAGTGCCCCAAGCAGAAGCCTGGGAGTCTACATTGTGGATACTACACATGTATTATGATGAGTACCATCGGTGGCTACAATAGAACCCCCAATCTAGTAAGTTTGAACCTCTTCGCTCGTAGTATAAAAAGTTCGTATATGTTATGATATAGTAAACCTAAACTTATTCTCTTGTAGTTGGAGAAAGATAAAGACACGAAAAGGAACCCATACAAGGATGATGAGCTCTTAAAGATGGTCGGCGACCTTTGCAACTTCATAATGGACCAGATTGTGTACCATAAAGGCACTTACCATCATCTTTTTTTCTGACTTAGGTAGTAATCCTCTATACCAACACCTTCGTGAGACTGATAGGCTAGCCCTAGGCCGTTGATGACAATGTGGACTTGTGGTATGGTTTGGATCAGACTTTGGAACGGTTTGGACTTTGTTTTGCATGTGGACTTGTGGATTTCTTAATGGACTATGTTATAATGATGGACTTCATAATGGACTATGTTGTAATGATGAACTTTTGCGAATTATGACTTGTGATGATGTTCTAAATAATGGTCTTGTATTTGTGGATGTATATATGTATATCTGTGACGATCAGATTCGAATTTGAATTATATATATATATATATGGTCAGATTTGAATTTGAATTTTTTTTTCTGGAAAATCCACTATAGGGGCGGTTCTTAATTGAACCGTCCTTACAAATACACACAACAGAGGCGGCTGGTGATACAACCGCCCTTACAGAAGTCCACTACAGGAGCGGTTGATATTACCAGCCACCCCTACAGAGGGCACTGTAGGGGCGGCTGAAAACACCAGCCGCCCCTACAGAGGGCACTGCAGGGGCAGTTAGGAAACCGCCCCTATAGAGACACCCTCTGTAGAAACACCCTAGAAAGGGCGGCTGGCGCAGCCGCCCCTACAGAGACTTTAGAGCCGTCCCTATAGTTAACTTCTTTTGTAGTAGGCGTGGCGGTGACCTTCCCCATTACGCACCTCGACGACGATGTGGATTCGATAGCCATAGCGACTGGCGAGGGAGCACACGGCAATATAGGCGTTTTGCACAAAACAGATCTACTGCAGAGAGCCTTGTTTATTTTTTTTGAAAGCCAGAGCTAGGGCCTTTGTTTATAGGAGGAGTACTTCTTCTATTGTGCGGCGCGCGCTATGCGACCGTTCCCGACTCGGCGCCGGTTGGGAATACTATAAGCAACTTCAGGAGACTCAGATTAAATAATCTCGTGTACAGTCCGGTCTT